TCTTAGTTTGTTTAGAGATAGTTTCCATATTGATACTAGCCTAAGCTTCAGAGTTAAACAACAACCTGGTTTCAAATTCAGCTTTATTACTCATTATCTATAAGACTTTGAACAAATTAGTACACCTCTCTAAAACTCTCTTCCCACCGGTCAAAACACTCATTTTGTACGGCTGTCTGAAAATTAAATGAAATAGTGAATATGAAAACTTTTAGCACAGTGTGTAATTTATAATAGGCACTGATTGATTCTCTTTTGGGCCTAATTTACTTTTCCTGCAGCATATCCCACTATACCTCTTCACAAACCCTACCACTCCAGGCTACTTGATTTTCTCAATTCATATAATGTACTTTTGTGTTTCTTCTTCAGCTGCATACTCTTTCCTTCTCTATTAAAATTCTACTCAAGTCTTCAAGGCTCAGTTAAAATGTTGTCTTCCCTGAAGCCCTGTGTATCTCACAACTGGTGTGTTAATCTCTCCTTCCTCTGTACACTCTTAGCTTGTATGTTGATTAGAGCACTTTTTTTTCAATCTGGTTTATATTCTGATTCTCCCAACAGACTGTAGGGGCCTCGGAAACAAGGAGGATGTTGTATGTTGTATGTTTATTTCTCTCACATTATACTTACGACAGTAGACACTCAGTTATTGAATGAATGTAGAATTGGATGCTGTCTTTCTCTTTCTACTGCTATAGGACATCACTTGCTTAAATGCCTACTGTTGCCTCAAACCCAAACATGTGCAAAAGCAAGCACATCTTCCCTAAACTGCTCCCTTTCAATTTTGCTGTTTTTGATACTACCCTAATCCCTAGTCTCAGTTTCTGAGGCTAAAAATCTTAGAATTGTATTTGACTGATCTGTTTCCTTGACCACCTAGGAGCCAAACTACCAAGTTCTTCCAACTCTTTCTGTGAAATAGTTCTTGGATTCATCTTTCTTTATTCCATTCCTAGGATTATCAATCATTATTTTTAACAGCTATCACCATTTATTGAGCATTTACGTTCTGGGCTACTTTGTATACATTATGTCATTAGATCTTTAACACCTCTGTGAAGCAGGTACTCTTACTCTTATTTTACAGATGAGAAAAATCAAGGCACAGCTTACATACTTTGCCCAAGGTTACAGTTAATTAAGTGGCAGAGTGGGGATCAAACCCAGATGTGAAGCCAAAGCCTAGAGCTGGACTCTTTCAAGTTGTGTAGAACAAAAATAGGATTTTTAGAAGAGTATTATGAAGATATACAGGAAGTAAACAAGCACAGGAAACTGCATCATGGACACGTACTGTCTTTTTCGAAAGCAGAATACACCCACACTCTAGCGATCTAGTTATTTTGGGGAGCTCTCTGACATCAGCATTTGAGGCCCTAAGGCTTCTCTCCTTGCTTCTGTTGCCCTTGTTACAACTGACTGACATCTCTCCTCCCCCTCTACCTCTTGGCTTCTATTACTTCGTGACTCCTGCTGCCTCGTATGTTTGGCTATCCTACTTTTCTCTCACTATTGTGCAACACAAACGCTTTACTCCAATTAAGGCAACCTCCTCACTGTTTCCAGAACAATTTCTGTCTCCACAACTTTACGTTGTTACTTTGAACACAAATACTTTGTTCTTTTCTACCTCAAAATACAGTCAAAAGCCTGTACTTCAAAGCTCCTTCATTACTTATTCTCAACAGTTCCAATGGATTTTTGAGTGGTTACTTATGCGTTAAGTCTTCTTGCTGACCCACGATGAACCCGTAACATGAGTAAGAAATAAACCTTTTGAGATTTGGGGGTTATTTGTTCTTGCAACATAATCTAGCCTATCCTGACTGATCTACTGACTTCAGGGAAGTAATTTAGCTTTACCAAGTTTCACTTTCCTTATACGTAAAAGAGAGATTAAAACAGTATCTATCAAATAAGGCTGCTCTGAGGATTAAATGAGGTAATACAGGTAAAAGTATGTGGGTAAAATACAGGTAGACGTACTTAGCACCGTGCTAAGCACGAAAGAAGTACACAAATGTTATTTAAAAGTTTTGAATTATCACCAGCTAGCAATTGGTGTGTTAGTAATAACAAATGAGCATAATGGAGAGTATTGTTTGCTTTTTCAAATGTTAACTTCAAATTACATATGGTATAATATTCTTGTCAGTAATTTTAGTTGAAAACTTAGGCATCTACAAATTAACATTTTAAGATAACTACTATAGAGTTAGCCTAACTCATCATAAGAAACAGCTTTTCTTCTTTTCATATCATGAATTTTTGGATACCATGAAAAAAATGTTTCATATATATGCATTCTCTCTAAAACCTTTAAAGCTTATTAAAGAGATGTTACCCTTGTTTTCAAAAGCCCAGTTATAATAGGGATATATTGTTCTATAAATAACTATTTAAATTTGGGATCCAGATGAGCATATTTCATGATATATTGAAACGGAGCAGGACCCTATGGTCTATGCCCCATGTCCTCAGCCTGCCTTTAGTCTGTGGAAAAACTTTAGCCAAATAATAACTTTAGTCAGAGAAGTGAGAAAATGCAGAAACAAAGGAAAACAGTCAAAGGAGACCAAATAATAATAGTTTAGTCATTGAGCACAGTCAAGGGCCTTTAGTTCCTTCTCAAGGGTTATAGATAATATTCTGAGCTGTATCCTGTGAGCTGTCTTCTAGATACTGAAACCCACACCAGGTGGAAGAAGTTAACTACATGATGCCCAGACTGTAGCCATGACATACCCTGCCACAATTCCAAGAACTGGCCTCAAGGAAATGGGAACGAACCGACCATGGAACTGAAGATTCACTGTACCTAAAAAAAACAAGATGATGCTGGTCAGACCACCGCATGGCCAATTTCAAGATAACTGTCAGAGCCGACTGTACTGTTTCTGCATGTAGCCCTCTCCCTCAACCTATAAAAGCTCTTGCTCACTGGTTGTAGGAGCGGGGGAGTCGGTCTTTGGACAGGCGTCCGCCCGCCAACCTCCCCGCCCCCCCGTTTGCCGGCATCCAAAATAAAGCAAACTTTCCTGTCCACCAGCCTTGCCCCTTTATTGGCTTTTGAGCGGCAAGCAGCCAGACACCACTTTTGGTTACAATATCACCCCACTATTTATATTTAATTAAATTTTCTCTCAGCCATGTTATGTATGGTTTATTATTAGTTGAAGACTGCCCAGACCTGGTAAAGATAACAATCATAAACACATCTGTATAATAATTCATAATGTTAAAAGTGCTTTTGCATAGTCTCGACTTTGAATCTTCTGAGTTATATATTATTTCCATTTCTAGTTGAAGAAAAGGAGACTTGGACAGTGGCCTGTCTAAAGTAACGAAAAACTGGGACTAGAACCTAGGTTCCTTTACTACACATTTCTTGTTTATGCTACCACAGAACCCTGTAGTGATAAACCATTACTGGAATAACAACACATATGCTCTACTGATTTATGTATCATAACTCTATAAGCCTATGTAGCATAAATATTACATGAACAAGCATTAACTATCACTATTACATTTTTTCAGGAATGATAATATCTGGGTCAGTGATAATAATGTGATAATTTGGGGGACATGTTTTGCTAGCTAGCCTTTTCAGTCTGACAAACTTGGTAAGGCTGAGATAAATTTAGACACTATAACTCTTTAAATTAACAGTAAACTGACTTACAAAAACACTTAATAGAGAGCCAACATCTGTGCCACAACATTCCTTCACATTCCTATTTTGAAGAAAATTTTAAAAATATTGTTTTATCAAAGAAATTTTGTTTTGACTAAACTTAGGAACACTGAAAAACAAGTGTCTACACTTAAGAAATTAAAGAACCTGCAAGTGTACTGGAGAAAATGCTAAATGAAAAAAAAAAGTGTAAGTAAGGTCTCCTCATGGTGCCACATCTAGGGTCTTACACCGAAATAAAAAACTTTAAAACATTTCAAACAAGCCAGCTGCTGCCAATGTATGGAGAACAAAGTATCCCATTAATTAAAGTGCCTAAACTGATTTAAATGGTATCTTGGTTACTTTTTAGAAATTGCAACACGCTGCTATTTATAACACAGCCTCTTCTTCAAAAAGACAGTATGGCAAACTTAGTTTTTAAAAATAATGCAAATTTTGTTAAGAACTTGACACACGTTTGCTTCCCTGGAGAGAAGCAAAAATCAGAGTTAAGATACGTTAACACACTTTTTTTCCGCCTCATCAGAAGCCAACGTGCAATACAACATGAAAAATGTCTAAGCTGGAATCTTGTAATTTGGCTCATTGTACACTACGCCTTTCCACTACGTTGGATCTTCGTTCTAGTTTCCAGCTTAGCTATTAGTAGTGGCTGGGAGGGCAAGTCACTTCTCTGAATGTTTCATTTCCCATAAAACCAGAAAATGGGTGGAGGACCATAGAGAGTTTTGAGCCGAATAACGTCTATTAGATATCATCAAAAGCTTTTTCCTCCGGACGATGCAAACCCAGGCACACGGGGTTCTGCTTTGCCCGCATCCCACTCCCGAGCCTCGGCTTCGTTCCTCTTCCTTTCAACCTCAATTCGGGCTCCTGAAGGTTAGCAAAGAGTTCTTTTAACGAAATCCAGCGCTCCTTTGTCTCCAAACTTGGCTAGGAAAGGATTCCGAGGCCTCCGCTGGCTGAGAGAAGGTAGTGGCGGCGATCCACCCTCGCTGGGCCACCCACCCACCCCAACCTGAGTCTGGCGCCGAAACCCCGGCGCATGCTTGGGGCTCCCCGGTACCGCGAGGCGCGCGCTTGCCCGGCCACTGTTCCTGGAAAGGGCGGGATGCCAGGACGCGTGCCGGGACAGCGGCAGGCGGAAGCCGCTGGCGGAGAGGACGGGCGGTTCCCGCCAGCGCGGGTGGGGGAAGGGCGGCAGCCACACCCGGAAGTCGGTCTGGAAGGGAGGGGGGAACATGTGGGGGCGAGGCTTCCGGTAGCGCAAAGGGTATCGGGAGAGGCTTCTAGCAAACCTTCTCTGGCTTCTGGAGGGACGGACCACCGTTTCCGCGGCTTTGGCTTCTGCGATCTGCGTTCAGGCTAAACGGCCACAGCGGCGCCGCTGCCGCTCCCCTTGTGCCTGGTTCTGACCGTATTTGTTACCCGGAGGCCGCCCCGGTTACAGCAGCGGCTGCGGCCGACATGTTGTGAGGCGGCGGCGCGGGTGTCTCAAGGATGGTTTGGCTGAGGCGGCAGCAGCGGCTGCTGGCGGCGGCGGCATTGGCAGCTGGGGCTCCGGCTCTGTAGAGCCCAGCCCGCTGGGTGTCCGTCCTGTACCGCGGCCACACCAGTGCCCCTGGACCTTGCCTCTGCTCCGGCGCCGTTGGGGAACCGGTTAGGCAACAGCGCACGCCCCGCAGAGGAGACACGAAGGGGGTTCTCCAGTGCTCAGATTTCCGGACCACCTAGCCTTCCCCTCTCCGACCTGGGCAGTGCTGTCCCCAGAATCCTCAGCCCCCCGCCCCCAAATTTGCTCCCAGCTTCGCCCTGAATCTTTCACACACGCGGTTGTTCCACGCCCTCTCGAGCCAACCCCTCGCCCCTTAATTTTCTGCACCCTCTTCTCAGAACGCCCCCCGGATTGCTCTCCGAGAGCAGCCTTTTGAAAAATCTTCGTGGAGCAGTGGACCAGAACTGGGGGAGTTTTCAAAGTCGGGCGCGAGAGATAGGAAGGTACGATGGCTTCCTCATCTGGAAACGATGATGATCTCACTATACCCAGAGCTGCTATCAATAAGATGATTAAAGAGACCCTCCCCAATGTCCGGGTGGCCAACGATGCCCGGGAGCTGGTGGTGAACTGCTGCACTGAATTCATTCACCTTATATCTTCTGAAGCCAATGAGATTTGCAATAAATCGGAAAAGAAGACCATCTCGCCAGAGCACGTCATACAAGGTAAGTGGTATGTGTGGGATTTTGTTTCAAAGAGGGGCCGGGGACAGAGTCCTAATCGCGTGACCCGTTCATGTCAAAGCCTTCAGTTCTGTCCCCTGGTTAGTACTGATAACTGAAAAAGCTGCGCGGGCATAGAGGCAGCCGGTGCCTTAAAATCCCTGTGTAATATTCTCGTGGTCCTTTTCAAACAGCGAATGCAGGTAAGGGTTTCAAACGATTAGGTCAGCTAGCATCCCCCCAAATAAGGTAGTAGCAGCGATCTCAGTTTACAGCCAGGTAAGCCCAAGAAACAAGAATTTTGCCTACCTGAAGTGGAAGCTAGACGTGACAACTGAGAAAGTGCCTGCCTAGAGTGGAACCTAGATCATGACAACTGAGAGAGGAACCCAGAAGTTCTGCCTTGGAGAATTAGAATTCAGACCGGAAGTTTAAGCATGAGTGGAAAGGGTACCCCTTCCCCACCCGACCTTTTCACCAGTGTAGAGGAAAAGATGAATTTTCAGAACACGAGTGAAAATATTCTTAACGTGCATGTTCAACGTCGTAAAGTTTATTAGTGTTGGATAGAGAGAGTATATTTTCTGCTTTAAAAATGGTTTCATGGTCCTAACGTTAATCAACAAGTTGCCAAAGCACTCCAGTTCTATTCTGTAAGAAAAGGGGCAGTGTTCTTTAATCTTCCTTCCCCTCCTTCCTCACTTTCTTCCTTTTTTCTGTAGCTTGCTTTATTTCATGGAGATAGATTTTTAAAGCTTGGGTTGAAAGATTGTGAGAGATGTTTTTCATGGAATATTTCCCACTTGTTTCCCTGCTGTCATCCCCATTTAGATGTAAACGCTTCAGCTTTTATTGAACAGCAGTTCTGAAAGTTTAACCGTTTCTTCTCTCATCTTGGAAAAGATTTAGTTCAGTTAGTAGGGATTTGGGGGACCATATTCTGATGGTTTGTTTCAGGGATGGGGAGACATTTACTAGTCATAATGTTTTGGGAAGCACTTTCTGTCACTTGTACATATACTCTTATGAAAAGGTTGCATTCTATTTGAGGTGATAACTTGCTTTTTATAATAACCCAATTAAAATTCTAACAATTTCTTGATTGCTTTTGAAGTCAGAAAAAAAATCATGATTAATTTAATTTTGGTAGGCAGGCGATTGTCTACCATTTTATTTTTTAAATTTAACTTTTTAAAAGGTGACTTCCCTGTTATTCTGAAGTAGAGGACACATCTGCTCATATTCACCATATGCAGTATTTTATGGTCAATATTGACAAAAGGATTAAATGATTCATTTTTGATCCTTAATGATGTGTAGGAGGTAGATTTAAAACATACTCTGCCATTTCCATTTCAGTACATAAGGAGAAAAAAAATCCCTAGGAAGAAGTATATTTGATTTTAAAGCTAGTGTTTTCTTCTACTTATTTGGTGTACTCTGAAGTAAAATGAAAGCCAAGTTGTCTATGTTTCCTCTTGTGTTTTTATTTTTACATTGTATGTGCAGTTGTCACAAGTCTTTCACAAGATTATCCAACACAAATAGCTGTAATTACCTTTTACAACTCATAACAGAGAAAAAGGATCTTTTATCAACATTGTCTTTCTAATGAAAATTGCAAAAGATTTCAAAAGGATATGCCTAAACATTTGTTTACACCACAGAAGTGGGGATCATTCCAAAAATCTAAAAACACATTACAGTCTGTCTTCTTGGGTAGAGTTTATTCTTTTCTAGGATATATTTAGATTTCTGATTGACATGATGGAAGAAAAGTGCAGCTGTAGTGAACAGTATGCTAAACAGCTCAACTTTGGAATATGCTAAATTCAGTTTAACATATGAATCAAAAAGTTCCAGTGAAAGCATTTTCCTTGTGTACTGAGGATGATTTATTAATTAAAAAAGAAAATCACGCATTAACCTGCTACAGCCTTATAAATTTACCTTTTTTTTTTCTTTTAACATTGCCTTTGTTAAGTGGATAAGGACCTACATTTTAGCCCCAAATTCTCCCCAGTTAGGGGAATAGATTTTATACATTTATAACCTCATATTGATATCATATTGCTTAATCATTTAAAGAAACTTTTGTCTTGAGTGATAAAAGTTTTTTTAAAGAAATCCTTAAGTTGTGTATTTTTTTAGGTGTTTAAAGTGTGTGTTTATAGACTAACTCTAGAAAGCTGGGTATGACATTTTTTATGCTGTTCTGTCAATGTTGAATATTTAAGAATGTAAGATATAGCCAAGTGGAATAATGTACGTTTTAAAGTGGTTTGATTTTCACATGTTGAAGTTTGGATTTTTTTTAGTAATAAGTTTAATGAACTAAACTTTGCTTCAAAACATTTCACTTGTTCACTTGCCACTTTGCTTTACCTTGTCAGGGCAAATTAAGCATTTGAGGCAGTTCTGTAAAATGCATGCAGAAGTTAAAATAATTTTATTGCCAGTAAATCTGAAATTATATAACCTAGTTAAAATTTTAAAAAATTATCTAACTATTTTGCTTATTTTTAGTTTAAGAACATGGACTTTGAAGATCACATACACACAACAGAGGGAGTTCTAAGCTTATAAGGTGTTCCTTTTATTTCGTTGCTGGGTTTCTGTGAACACATATCTTTAAATGAGTATTAACATGTTCTGTTGCATTATGGAAAGAATTGACATTGAGAGTTAGGAGCTGCAGGTTCTGTACTGGAAAGTCTGGCCTTAGGCAAATCTGTTAACTAAGGTTTCCCCATTTATGTATAAATAATATTTAATGGTTTCAGATATAATTAGCAATTACTGAGAATTTGTCAGGATTAAGAAACTTACATGAAATATGCTACAATAAATAATAATTTTAAAACTTTATAGTGATACTGGTTGAAATATAAAGCTGAAAGTCTGTTATGTTTAACCTTACATCATGATGCCATTTGTAAAGCCAAAGTGTAAATAAGAATATTTTAAGTGATATTATTTTATCTCTGCATTTTAAAATCTCTTGCTACATTTTTTTTTCCTCATGTTTTTGAGAATAGTAACTGAAAGTAGTGAAAGTTTGAAAAAGTCTCCGAGGATTCACTTCTTCAGCAGTTGGATTGCTCCAAGCTCTATGTTGAAGGACTTTTTAAAAAAAAATTATAATCCCTCTCACATTGGTACTTTGGTAAAATACAAAAAAAAATGGATCACTAGAAAAACAAAATGAAATTTTTTGATACTGCATTCAATAGAAATAAAATTACTTTGTCAAATTGCTATGAAGTTTCTTTTTTTCCCCCCAGCTTTTTGAAATATAATTGACATGTAGCATTGTGTAAATTTAAGGTTTACAATGTAACGATTTGATGTGTGTATATATTATGAAATAATTACCACAATAAAATTAGTTAACACAGCCATCACTTCACATAGTTACAGTTTTGCCGTGAAGGTTCTTAAAATGCTTACTTTGAATTTCCGTACTTAACTCATTGCAGACCATTACAGGCATTTCTGGCACAAGTCCAGGGACCACACTTTGAGAATCTTGCTCTAAAGCCTAAACCACAGTCTGTTTTGGAAAGTGGATGTGGAGTAGTTTTGAAATCAGAGGATCTGAGTGATTGCAGAGAAGTTGTAATAATAATAAGAATGATATTGTATTGCCTAAATAATCATCCATACTGAAATTTTTTTCTGAAGGGACATGTAATTTACATTGCACAGTTTATCACATAATCAGGTGCTTTTCAAGTTAGGATTTTACTGTTTTCTTTAAAACTGATATGTCTTTTGTTTTTGTTTTCCTTCTGCCACCTAGCAATTACTTTTGAATACTACTGTGTACTTGGCACTGTACTAGATACTGCTAAGGATATAAAGATGAATGATACTTGATTCTTGCTCTGCCATCCGTCTCTCATTGTTGTCCCAGATTCCCACGAGTGGTGATACCATAGAGGGCATGATTCTTAAGGGTCTTTGTCAGGCCAGTAAGCCAAGAAGTCACTTTGGCCTACATCCTCTTAATGTATTTTAAGCTAACTAACATCACCTCCATACCTCCATCACCTAACATACAAACAAAAGAAAATAGAAAAATTAGAGAATGCTATTTTTTATATTTTAGTTTTTTCAAATGAAAACCATGCATTATGCATTTGAAGTATAAAGTAATTCACACAAATTCATGTTATAACAAAACTTTTGAGGAGTACATCATTTTTGGTAAAATATAAGATACGACTGTATTAAAATTGTTGGGTGGACATTTTTACTTTTTTTTTTTAAGTAGTTGTCTTAATATCTGTCTTTCAAATTGAAAAAAACATGCTAAATGTTTTTTTTTTCCCCCCTTAATATGCCATGCACTTTTCTGGGTACAGTTTTAAGGTAGATGGCAGAGGGTAGCAGACAGACCTCTGAGAAACAAGTGATACGTGTTTTATCCACAAATTTTAAAATGTATATATTATTATTTGTTTAATTTATTTTTCTGACTTTTACTCTGAGATCCTTAGAGCGAGGGCCATCAATAGTCCATAAAATCCCTTTGTACAAATTAGAAAAAGGCACTCCTTCCGTGTATTAATTTTGTATCCTGCAACTTTACTGAATTCACTGATGAGCTCTAGTAGTTTTCTGGTGGCATCTGTAGGATTCTCTATGTATAGTATCATGTCATCTGCAAACAGTGACAGTTTTACTTCTTCTTTTCCAGTTTGGATTCCTTTTATTTCCTTTTCTTCTCTGACTGCCATGGCTAGGACTTCCAAAACTATGTTGAATAATAGCGATGAGAGTGGACACCCTTGTCTTGTTCCTGATCTTACAGGAAATGCTTTCAGTTTTTCACCATTGAGAATGATGTTTGCTGTGGGTTTGTCATATATGGCCTTTACAATGTTGAGGTAGGTTCCTTCTATGCCCACTGTCTGGAGAGTTTTTATCATAAATGGCTGTTGAGACACTCCTTCCTTAAAAACCTTTACTACCATCTGCCAGAAAAAGAGCTATAATAAGCATACAGATCTATGATGTTTACAGTATGAATGGCTCTCCTCAGATTTGCTGCTGTTGTGCACTGAACCACCTGCACAACTGTTAACTGATGGCCCTGCTTAGGAGCCATTTTCCTTATCCTTTAAGATTCTCCTTTATGTAAAATGGGGATATTATTACTACATGGTAACAGATGATGTAAAATATCCCCATTTAGAAAATGCTGTGTCCAGTTACTCATATCCGTTAGCCAAAATGTGTTTAAAATTAGGATTAAAGTCAATGCAGTTTTGAAATTAAATTTATGGCTGCTCCCGTTGAACGATTTTATTGAGAGTACAGTGTTTGTACTCAGCATTGAGAGTATAGCTCTTTCAATAATATTAAATATTAACCTTGGACTTACTTGCAGTTTTTTTTTTTTGAAAGCAGTGTTCTCAACCTTAGATGTTTTTAAAAGTGAGTTTTTTGTTTGTTTTTTAATTTTTAACCCAAGCCCTCCATGGTTTAAGGTAGATTGGATTGAAGTTTTTAATGTCTAGTCTAGTGATTCATGACATTTTGAAGAGTCCTCTCGTCTATTGATTTGTTAATTTAGTAAATTTAATATACTTGTTCAGCTTGAATTTAATGGTGTGATAATGCATAGCTATACATTTATTTAGGCCCTGTATACTTACTAGCATACTCTTAAGTGTAAGAGAAAAGATATAGATGAATAAAAAAAGTCCCGGCGCCTGCCAGCCTGTGACCTCGCGGCGCCACCTCCGCAGGTCTGCTGCGATGCCCGTCGCGGTGGAGGACATCATGAGGCTCCTGTGCTCCGTCTCCGAGGAGAGGAAAATGCGGGCGGCCGTCAAGCACTCCGGGAGGGGCGGCCTGGTCACAGGGGTTGTGGCCTTCGTTGGTGGTTTGGTGGGCGGGCCACCAGGACTAGCCGTTGGGGAGGCCGTGGGGGGTTTGTTAGGCGCTTGGATGACAAGTGGACAGTTTAAGCCAGTTCCTCAGATCATAATGGAGCTGCCACCTCCCGAGCAGCAGAAGCTCCTTAACGAAGCCACTGCCATCGTCAGGCGCCTGGAATGGACAGACGCCGTGCAGCTGACCATGCTGGTCATGGGCAGTGAGGCCCTGCAGCAGCAGCTGCTGGCGATGCTGGCCAACTACGTAACCAAGGAGCTCCAGGCGGAAGTGCAGTGCGACGATGAGGCCTCTGCTGCGGGAAGCGGGCTCCATTTAGATGATTCTTCCCGACTCATGGAAGGTGACTGGGGAGCTGCAAGAAGCCCCACATCATCAGAATATTACCCTAAACTGTAGCGAACTCTCCTGGTGGAGAGGCTGGGGCTGTGCTATATCATGTTCTGGAAGTTATTTGAGAAGATGCCGTGTTTTGTGGCCGTGTGCACCTGTGTGCCCTGACAACCTTTCAACTGGGAAGCTGGTGAACAGTAAAGCTGTGACTGCTGCCACGTAGCGGCAGTTTTCTGAATCTACTCTCGCTCACATAGGAGCTGGGAGAAGGTCTTCACGTTCAGCCTTCTCATCTCATCACGTGAAGATGATGCCTGTCCAGGCAGCCGTTGCCCGACCAGCCCTCCCTTGGGACCTTGGGGCTGTCCCCTGCTGGAATCATGTTTACCTCTTGAACGCCCCTTCCCCACCCAGTGACTTCTGAGTGGCCTGCTGAGTGAAGCCACAAATGTCAGTGGCACCCAGCCCCTCCCCCAGTAGCTGCCCGACTGGGCTCTTGCCCTCCCAGGGGCTTGCTTTGCCCATCTGAAAAGTCATAGTAGTTCTTGAGTGATGTTTTTTAAATTAAATATTTTCAGTAAAATTGATCTTTCTGAAGTGGTAGAATTATAAACTATCTCTAAGAAATGTGTCCACCCTAAATTTCCATGCTAAATTTCACCCTAAATTTCCCCTAATTTCCCCTAAATGTCTTCTGAACAACAGCAACAAAATGATGAATAAAAGATGAATAATATGTCCAAGTTAAGGGACTCTTAACATGTTAGACACTGTGTTGTTAAATGCCATAGGTTAATCACTTGTTGATTTCCACAATCCTTAAAGTATTAAAAATATAATAGTGAATACTTAATTTTGCTCCTTCTGTGGGCCAGCCTCTGTTCTTAGCTCTTTGTTTATATTCATTCATTCTTCACAGCAACCTGATCTGATGAGTTGTAGGTACTGTTATTCTTGTTTTAGAGGAACAGAGGTGAAGGAACTTACCCTGACTCACACAGCTAATATGAGGCAGAGTTGGGAGTCAGTTCCTGTGAGGCTGCAAGCTTAACCACTATAGTGCTTCTGGTTGTAGGAAGATATTATGAAATTATGAAATATGAAATAGATGCTGTTTTCATTTTACAGATGGGAAATTGAAGCTTAGAGATATTAAGCAACATATCCAAGGTTATACAAATACAGTGACAACCAAGTTCCAAATTCTAAGTCTATCTTATTTCAGAAGGGGGAGATTACTTCTGTCTAGGAGGATCAGGCAAGCTTAATTTGAAGATATAGTTTGATCCAGGACTTGAATGAATTACTGTCAGCACGAATGTGGGAAACTGGTGCCTGTTGGGAAACATTGAGCAGTCAGGTTTAACAAAGTATGCAGGGATTTAATGGCAGAAATAAAGCTGGGAAGGTAAGTGGGGCTAGATCCTGGAGAACCTTGTTGTAGGGCTAAGGAAATAAGACTTCTTTTCTTTGTTTATTTAAAATTTTTAAAGTTTTGTTTGCATACGGTATTTGTTTTTCTCTTTTTGGCTGCGTTTGGTCTTCGTTTCTGTGCTCGGGCTTTCTTTTAGTTGCAGCGAGTGGGGGCTACTCTTCGTTGGAGTGCATGGGCTTCTCATTGCGGTGGCTTCTCTTGTTGCGGAGCACGGGCTCTAGGCATGCAGGCTCAATAGTTGTGGCGTGCAGGCTCAGTAGTTGTGGTACACGGGCTTCGTTGCTCCGCGGCATGTGGAATCTTCCTGGCCCAGGGCTCGAACCCATGTCTCCTGCATTGGCAGGCGGATTCTTAACCATTGCGCCACCAGGGAAGCCCAAGACTTTTCTTTAGAATAAGAAAATAAGACTTTTCTTTAGAATGTGGTGGGACACCTTAAATCATTTACTGATTTCTTTTGGTACTGTCTCCAGCCAGTATTATTGAAAATGCACTACTATGCTTATGCCTTTAAAAAAGAGAAAAGAGGGACTTCCCTGGTGGCACAGTGGTTAAGAATCCACCTACCAATGCGGGGGACACAGGTTCGAGCCCTGGTTCTGAAAGATCCCACATGTTGCAGAGCAACTAAGCCCGTGTACCACAGTTACTGAGCCTGCGCTCTAGAGCCCGTGAGCCCCAACTACTGAAGCCTGCGCGCCCAGAGCTTGTGTTCTGCAACAAGAGCAGCCACCGCAATGAGAAGCCTGACACCGCAATGAAGAGTAGCCCCTGCTTGGGGCTTCCCTGGTGGCGCAGTGGTTAAGGATCCGTCTGCCAATGCAGGGGACATGGGTTCAAGCCCTGGTCTAGGAAGGTCCCACGTGCCGTGGAGCAACCATGCGCCACAACTACTGAGCCTGAGTGCCACAACTACTGAAGCTTGCCGGCCTAGAGCCTGTGCTGTGCAACAAGAGAAGCCACCCAATGAGAAGCCCGCGCACTGCAATGAAGAGTAACTCCTGCTCGCTGCAACTAGAGAAAAGCCCACGCGCAGCAACAAAGACCCAACGCAGCCAAAAAAAAAAAAGAGTAGCCCCTGATTGCCGCAACCAGAGAAAGCCTGTGCGCAGCAACGAAGACCCAATGCAGCCAAAAATAAATAAATTTATTTTAAAAAAAAGAGAGAAAAGATAAAACTTTGGCTTCTAGCATTGACATTTAAAAAATGTCTGTCAATTCAAGTAAAAAATTCAGGCTGCCTAATTTTCACTTAATTTCCTACTATACTCCAAACTCCTTGAGGCCAGGGATTAGGTGGTGGTTAATTTGGTAAACAGAACTCAGAATAAGAATAATGTCTTATTGAAATTTGGGGGGAACAAGGGGAGGGTCTGTAAGTTAATTAAAAATTCAAGTAATAGCAGTCTGCTTTTTGGCATCACATTATTTCTAAAGACGGTTGATGAAAACAGCTTAATATATGAAATAATTAAAGTTGTAAGTCATTCAAAATGCCTTAAAAACCACAGCTTATATGGGAATGTAGATTTTAAAGGCATATTTGGTATTCTCCTTGAAGAGCAAATTCCTAAAGTTGGAACTTAGGGCATCTTTACTGAGGGAGTCTGGCTCATCATAGTTGTTGAAAGACTGTAAGAACTGATGAACTAACTTAAGTTCATTTACTGTGTTTTTCACCACCTATATTTCATCAGTGGCTCAGAAAGCAAAATATGATTTTGGGGCCTTAACATTTAGAAAAGTATATAATCTTAAATACCGTGAGCCAAAAGGAAATTTTATGCTTTGTCTTTCTGGATTACAGAAAGCCTTTTTTTCTTACAAATTTTTCTTTCTAAATGTGAAAAAATAAAGGGAGAGAATTTTTTGTTAATGTTTCTTCCATCCTTATAGTCTTCCTTTATCCCAGTTTTTCTGCCATGTCACTTTAAATTTTTATAGTGTTTCCTGTTAAGTTTTATTTTCAAGGGAAACTTTGGTTGAATATAAATGCTGAATTTCATAAGCTCTTTCCACCAGTATTTCTTAAACTTGGCAGTTTGAGTGTCTTTGCTAAAAATACTAGTTTCCTGTTGGTATATTAGACAAAAGAACTTATCTATTCTTTCATCTTATCCTGCTGA